GAAGAGAAGAGAAGAGAAGAGAAGAGAAGAGAAGAGAAGAGAAGAGAAGAGAAGAGAAGAGAAGAGAAGAGAAGAGAAGAGAAGAGAAGAGAAGAGAAGAGAAGAGAAGAGAAGAGAAAACGCCAGTCCCCCTGAGACAGAATGTGGCAGCTGGGTCACATCACTCCTGAGCAAACTGTGAAAGCCAGAAAAGCACCTGGGCCTGAAGTCCGGGAAAGTCAGTTCGATAAAGGGCAAGTGACAGGCTGAAGGCCATCACATCCCCCCATCATTCTCTTTCCCTCACTCTCAGTCAGAAGAGTCAGCCCTTCACTTGGGTCCCTGGCTGGCTCCGCTAAGTGAATGTTAAATAGGGGTAACTGCAGGAGCACAAGATGAAATCCCACCTCCCTGAGACACAATCTGTTAAACCTTCCACAATGGTGTTGGTCTAAAGATTCTTGTCCCCCCAGCGCCTGGGACTCAGAAGTGGCTGCTGAAGCAGGAAGGTGACCTCTGCCTGTCCCTGCTATCCCTGAGCTCTGACATCCTCTCTCACAGGGTGGCAGGGGTGTAGAGTGTCCCGTCAGGCTGACCAGGTCCTGGCCAAGCTGCAGGGTCAGGACAAGGGAAGCCTCCTAAGTGCCAGAAGCTCTTGAGGTGGAATTCCCCAGCACCATCATTTTGTAACCCTGAAACTGACTTGGAGAACAGGAGAAAGCCAGTCCAAACTCCAGCCCTCCCCCCCGCCCAAGCCTGTTGCATGCTGAAGTCGCCTTCTGACTGTGCAAATTTTTGCCAGAAAACATGGGGAAAGAAGCAAAGCAAAGGAAGGAATGGGAGGAGAAGGCCACAACCCTACCTCCTCCTCTTCCCACACCTTTTCCCTTCCTCTGTGCAATCAAGAAATCCCTCCCTGCTTCTAAAACAGGGAAGTTCCGCCTATATTCAAGGCCCTAAAACGTTACCAACAACACTTGTGCTTCAGTGCAGTTGATCGCTGGAAGCAAACGTGTTGAGTGTAATTCTCACCTAGTGTCGTGATGTTAAATCTTAGTGTGGCCTTCAGGATCCCCTCTGCTCCCTGCTGCCTTCATTCCCAAAACATTAAATATTAGGAGTTTCATACAAATATAGCACCAATCTGAATCTCCAAAGCACTTTCATTTTAAAAGCTCTCAAGGAAAATTATTTCTGGGGCTGGGGAGATGGCTCACTAAGTAAGAAGGCATGACACACAAGCGTAACGACCTGAGTTCGGATCCCCACCACTTAGATTAACCAACAGGTATGGTGCTTGCATCCCCAACACTGTGGAGAGAGTGGTAGAGACAGGAGGATCACTGGGACTTGCTGGCTGCCTGGTTGACTCCAGGACCAAGGAAAGACCCTTCCTCAAGGGAATAAGATGGAGGACAATAGAGCAGGACTCGGCTTGTCTTTCTCTGCCCTCTTCTTTCACTAACAGACATACATATGCACATGCACACGCATGCACACATGCACACAGCACACACACACACACACACTAAGCTCTATCACCTTTCTACAATCTCCATGGCATCTTAGGTGGCATAAAAAATCATTAGTACAGGGTCAAGGGGACTTGCAGTGACACACACAGAAAAGAACATCTTCTGATCATCTTGGTTGGTGACACCGGTCACTTCAGGTCCAGTCTGTGTCCATGGTGTTTTCAAGGAGTCAGGAGGAATTGAATCCTTTGACCCCCCCTCACCTTGACCTCATCAAGGATTAGAAATACCACTTTCCACAGCCTAGTACTGGCAAAAGAACAGACAGGGGGACCAATGGAACTGAATAGAAGACCCGGATATTAATCCACACACCTACGAACACCTAATTTTTGACAAAGAAGCAAAAAATATAAAATGGAAAAAAGAAAGCATATTTAACAAATGGTGCTGGCATAACTGGATATCAACATGTAGAAGAATGCAAATAGATTCATATCTATCACCATGCACAAAACTTAAGTCCAAATGGATCAAAGACCTCAACATAAAGCCAGCCACACTGAACCTATTAGAAGAGAAAGTGGGAAGTACACTTGAACCCATTGGCACAGGGAACCACTTCCTAAATAATAACCCCAGCAGCACAGACACAGAGACAAACAATTAATAAATGGGACCTCCAGAAACTGAAAAGCTTCTGTAAAGCAAAGAACACTGTCAACAAGACAAAACGACAGCCTACAGAATGGGAAAAGATATTCACTAACCCCACATCGGACAGAGGGCTGATCTCCAAAATATACAAAGAATTCAAGAAACTGGTCAGCAAAAATAAAACAATAATCCAATAAAAAATGGGGTACAGACTTAAACAGAGAACTCTCAACAGAGGACTCTAAAGTGGCTGAAAGACACTTAAGGAAATGTTCAAAATCCTTAGCCATCAGAGAAATGCAAATCAAAACAACTCAGATTCCATCTTACACCTGTAAGAATGGCCAAGATCAAAAACACTGATGACAACTCATGCTGGAAAGGTTGTGGGGGAAAGGGAACACTTCTGCATTGCTGGTGGAAGTACAAGCTGGTACAGCCCCTTTGGAGGGTTCTCAGAAAATTAGGAAACAAGCTTCCTCAGGACCCAGCAATACCACGTTTGGATATATATCCAAAGGATGCTCAATCATGCCACAAGGACATGTGCTCAACTATGTTCATAGTAGCATTGTTTGTCATAGCCAGAACCTGGAAACAACCTAAATGCCCCTTGACTGAAAAATGGATAAGGAAAATGTGGCACATTTACACAATGGAGTACTACACAGCAGAAAAAAAAGGCATCTTGAAATCTGCAAGCAAATGGATGGAGCCTAAAAACATCATTTTGAGTGAGGTAACCCAGACCCAGAAAGATAAATATCTTTTTTTTCCTCAGTTAAAATGTAGATGATTTTTATTTATTTTTTTATTTATTTATTAAAGATTTCTGCCTCTTCCCCGCCACCGCCTCCCATTTCCCTCCCCCTCCCCCAATCAAGTCCCCCTCCCTCGTCAGCCCAAAGAGCAAGGAACCCTGAAAGACAAATATCTTATGTGCTCACTCATAAGTGGCTTTTAGACATAAAGCAAAGAAAGCCAGCCGACAAACCACAATCCCAGAGAACCCAGACAACAGTGAGGACCCTAAGAGAGACTTACATAGATCTAATCTACATGGGAAATAGAAAAAGACAAGATCTCCTGAGTGAATTGTGAGCATGGGGACCATGGGAGAGGGTTGAAGGGGAGGGGAGAGAAAGGGAAGGGAGCAGAGAAAAATGTAGAGTTCAATAAAATCAATAAAAAATGAAAAAAATCATTAACTCAATAAAAATATGAAATATAAAAAAAGAAATAGCACTTTCCTTTTCTTTTCTTGCTTCCTTCCTCCTTCCTGCCCCCCTTTCTTTCCCCTCCCCCTTCCTTTATTCCCCCCTCCTCTCTGACATCCTCTCTTTTATCTCTTTCCTTCAGACCAAGAAATTCAAAATCCCCACAGTTCGCACAGCCAGCCGCAAACCCAGCCGGCGGGGCTCCACTCTCAGTCTGACCCGGACCAGTGGGTGTTCTTCTCCCCAGAGCAGCATGATATCTGTGAACCCTGGCTCTGATGAACCCCCAAGTGTGGCCAGCAAAGACATTGAAGACAATGAGTCATGGTCAACTAAGCAAGATGAAGAAACTCTCCACGTCCGTAAGTCCTACCTAAATCCCACCACTGTCTGCCTTTTTATTTGTAGTCTTTGAACCTCTCCTGCCTTACCCACAGCCCCTCTCAGCAGAGACACAGAGGTCAAAGGTCTCGACCACCTGCCTTGTTCAGTATCTTTGAGTCCCTTTCCTGGACAGCCCTGCCTGCCCCAAAAGGCTGAAAATGTCCCCTTTAAGTTGTGTCACACTGAGCCACTCCCCCACAGACACAGACACAATCACCATTTGCTTTATAACACTTGAAACTCTATTCTTATTTATCTCGTTTTTCTGTAAAGTTTTATTCTTTCCACATTTCATACGTATAGAAATTATTTTCCCACATTCTTCACATTCAGCCCCTTGTTTTCCACAGGTTTACAGATGTGTTGTTTTCTGCTTGGCCTGGGCCCTTTTGTGTCAGAGAGATACAACAACTGCTTACAAAGCCCAGGGTGAGCTGGGGCTCCCAGTCCTCCGGCCTCAGTCTCCCGGACACTGGATTAAAGGTGTATATAGGCCACCCCACCCAGCTAAAGACACCGCTCGTCTTAGCCATACATTGTCAGGTGTACACGCCAGCAACGTCCCAAAGCTGACAAAACATCTCTGCATCCATCGTCACAGTCTGACTTTTGTCCTTGCTTTTTGTTGGTTTGTTTTTACTTTTTTACTCTTTTGGTTCTTTGCTTTTGCTCTTTCGGGGGACCCACAACCCAGCTCCCAAATAAATACAGAGAGATGTAATTCTTACTTACAAATGCCTGGCCTAGCTTGACTTGTTTCTCACCAGTTTTTCTTAGTTTAAATTCTCCCATCTATCTTTGGCCTCCGGGCTTTTCCCTTTTCTTACTTCTGTAATCTTCCTTTCACTCCTACCCCATGGCTGACTGTGTGGCTGTGTGGCTGTGGGCTGGGGTCTGGGGGATTGGGGGGCTAGAGGGCTGGGTGGACAGCTGGGGACTGGGGGGCTGGGGAGCTGGAGGACTGGGGAGCTGAGGGGCTGGGGGACTGTGGAGCTGGGGGGCTGGGGGTGCTGGGGGACTGGGGGACTGGGGAGCTGGGGGCTGGGGGCTGGGGAGCTGAGGGGCTGGGGAGCTGAGGGGCTGGGGGGCTGGCCCCTTCTTTTCTTACTCCTTCCTCCCCTCCTCCCAGATTTCTCCCTCTATTTATTCTCTCTGCTTGCCAGCTCCACCTATCCTTTCTCCTGGCTCCCTATTGGCTTTTCAGCTCTTATTAGACCAATCAGGTGCTTTAGGCTGTCAAAGTAACACAGCTTCACAGAATTAAACAAATGTAACATAAAGGAACACCACACATCTTTGCATCATTAATCAAATATTCTACAGCATAAACAAATGTAACACATCTTAAAATAATATTCTACAACAACTTTAAAATGCTTCTGTCAACCCATCAGAAGACATGCCCACCCATTGTCCCTGTCCCTCCCCAGTCTAAACCTCAGAGGCAACAAATCTGCACAGAGATGTGTTTTCTCGTGTCCATGATCTTTAGTAATTCACCTTTGGGTTTAGAGTCCTTAGGAGTCTACTGAAAGCTATGGATCTTCGTTTAAGGAAGAAATCCAAAACAATGAATACTATCCAAGGGTAAGGAGACCTCCAACCTCAGGAAGAAACTTGCAACTGGATTCCACAAACCATGTCAAATTTTCTCTCAGGATTTCCTGCATTGAGCAAGTATATGCTCAATCAGATATGTAGAGGGACCTCAGCGGGTAGAAGTACCATCCCTGCAAGAACAAAGATTTGAGTTCAAATCCCCAGAGCCATACAAAAGTCGGATGCATAGCTCAAAATGCTGTAATCCCAGCATCCCCAGAAAGACAGGAGACCAAGGCAAAATTATTCCTGGGACCTCATGGGCTAGCTTGCCTCATACACACGGCAGGAAAATGGCAAAGGGAGCCTGTCCCAAACAGGTAGAAGAAGAAGTTTGACATCTGAGGCAGGCTGTCCCGGGAAGAACTGGCAAAGACTGGGTGCTGTTTAGATTCAAGGAGAACAGAGTGGACCTAGGGTCTGGACAGTCCCTGGCTTCTCAGAGCCAAAGTGCAAACTCCAGAAGTTCAGAGAGTCAGGACCTGTCAACAAGGGCCCAAGGAAGACTCAGAGCTCTCAGAGCCACTCTTGATGGGAGTGAGTGAGAGACTGATTCCTCTGAATTTCTGGAACCTTCTTCCTTCAGTGTCTGTGTGTTGCAAGTGCAGGATGTGGAAGGAATGTGTGGTGGTGCACATAAAGAAAACAAGGACGGCAGTAAACAGGGAAGCTCTGAGTAGCAGGATGACTAAGGTCGCAGGTAAGAGGAGGATGATGGCCGTGAGGGCTGAGCTGGAGAGACACCTCTGTCTTCCCGTCGAGTTGGAGTGGTGCTAGCCCAGCTAGGATGGTTCACAGAAGCGTCTCGCACCCCGATCATTGAGCTGAGACCTGAAGAGATGGGGCTTCCACCACTTTCCATCACTAAGAAACCTGAAGGAACTCTGCAAGGGTTTCGTTTCACGGGCACCGACATCATTGCTTCAGGAATATGGCAAATGAGAGCATCACTCAGAGGTTCCCACCTCACAGCGACAGGGAGCTGAGTGAGCGGAAAGGAAGGGGCTGGACCAAGGCGAGTCCTGTGAGATATAAACTCCCACTAACCTACTTCCTCCAACTCCACCTGCTCCCACTAACCTACTTCCTCCCACTACACCCGGGCTCCTAGAAGCTCGTTCAGCGTGAGTCGCCATTGGATTAGCACACTGGCAACGCCTGCACCCCCGTGACTCCTGCCATCCTCAAGTCCTCAACAGCACCATGCACTGGAGCCAAGCCTTCAACACACGGAGGGTTATTTCACTTCAAAATCGTGATAAGGCTCCACTAGCATGGGGAAGGGTGTGGAAGCCCCAAGCCTGCTGAAAAAATCAGCCAGTGAGAGGCAGGAATGAGGACAATGAGGTCATGACTTAGATTCTTTCCAAAAGAACTGTTGACGCAAAAACTTTGTTTTCAAAGGTTGACATTCTCCTCAAATCAGGCAAAATACAATTGTGATCTGGATTCGACCAGTTTGGAAAATAGTTGAGGTTTCCCAAACAATATTGATTGTCAGAATCTGAGACAGTTTTCTCTGGCTGTAGCGGAGGGGCTGGAAAGATGGCATGAGGATATCAGTTCATTCCCCTCAGCCACCGAAAAAGCCAGGTGTGCTGGTGCCTACCAGCAATCTCAGTGTCCAGCAGAGAAACACAAGAGGCTCTTAGGCTTTGCTGGCCAAGCGGTCTAGTCAGTCAGGAAGATTCAGGTTCAGTAACAGATTCTTGTCTCAAAACATGGGTTAGAGATCAAAGACACCCCATATTGGCCTCTGGCCTCATGCATGCCCCCCACATGTGAGTATGTATTACAATGAGAGAGAGAGAGAGAAAGAGAGAGAGAGAGAGAGAGAGAGAGAGAGAGAGAGAGAGAGAGAGAAACAGGTATACATCACAAGCAAAAATAAATTAATTTTAAAAAACCCTTCTAGACCCTATGAGCTGCCCCTTCTGGGGCAGAATGGGGTCCCCGTCTGACCCCCCCCCAACTCCTGTTCCATCAGACCTGCAAAAGCTCCTGGAGATGGTCCGGGAAGACTCCCGAAGAACCATCATGCAGATGACTGAGCTGCAGAAGAAAGTTCCCAGGTACGTTCCCTTAATCCAGTCAAATAATCATGAGAGCCACAGTAGCAATCACCAGCTCGTGGTCCGGCTAGTCCACTGAGCTGTGAACTGTGCATGTGCAGACTGCCCTGGATTCTTACAACAACCCCTAGAGGAGGAAGAACCACCTTTACAAAGGAGGCAGAGAGGCTAAACTATTTCCTAATGGCTACACAGCTGGTGGGTGGTGACATAAATCTAGAAATTTGTGATGTCTTGACCGCTCTGTCTGTCCGGGACCCTGTGGGCTGGTACTCACCCTTCTCGTGAGTATTTATGACTATGTGTAAACTATGTGCGCAAGGAAGAACTTGGAAACTTGGGATTTAAAAACCTAGGGTTTTTACATAAAACAATAGTGCTGTCAATGTTGGCCAGAGAAACTGCTTCTGCAGTGGGCAGTAGTTAACACAGAGACTCAGAACTAGTCACAGCAATGAGCACAAGTGATTGTACTTTGGATTGCTTGGTTCTAATGAGACGCGTCTGTCAACTTCCTGCAAGGCTCGCGGAACATTGCAAAAGAGGGGGTGGGAAGAGGGTAAGAGCTGGAGGGTGGGGAGGGGTGCCCTGGAGTGCAGTCTTCTGGAAAAGGCATGGCCGTGGCATTCATAAATGTACCGCAGCTATGGTGACATGCATAAGATCCGAACAAGATCAAGCCATCGTGATCAGTCAGCATTCCAGCAGGCAGCACTGGAATTACTAATTGGACTCACAGCCATCTGTAATAAGATCTGGTGTCCTCTTCTGGTATGCAGACAGAACATTGAATACATAATAAATAAATCTTTATAAAGAGAGGGGGGACATGGAGGTTGGAAGGCATGTGTTGAGGGGTGTCCAGTGGGGGGGGGGTTAGGAGGAGGGAGTTTGGATGAATATGGTCAAGATAAATTGTTTCCAGGGATGGAGTTGCCAAAAATAAGCAAAAGAGCTTTGAGTTAGAAATCACTCAGTGTGCAAAGCCTTGGGCTCCATTCCCAGCACTGCAGGGAGAAGAAAAAAAAAAAAAGACAGAGAAACAAAATATAATACAAGCATGGTGACACATGCCTGTGTTCTCATTACTCAGAAGGGGGAGGTGGGAAGATCTTGAGTTTGAAGCCAGCCTGGGCTACATAGCAAGACCCTAACACAAAAGGGGTCATTGGTCTAGAAACTCATGAGAGTTTCTTCTTTGTCTGGAAGAAACTTTTAGCTGAGATTTGAGATGAGGTCAGCCAGGGAAAGGCCTGCCTGTCAAAGGTGATAGACCCACGGGGCAGGGAGGGTGGAACATCCAGTCAGCCATGCACAGTCAGCTGTGTGCGGACCACGGCATCAACAGGGAGCAGGACACGGCCAAAATGGGGCAGAGAAAAGCATACATTGGTGAGGAGCTTCATCTTGGAAACCCTCGCCTGGAGGGTTTGTAGTCTCACCCCAAAAAGCATGGGCACCCTTGATGCCTCCAGCAGCTACTAGAACAGCTGGCTCATAAGAGAGTAGTCCATCTTCTGGAGGAAAGTCCTGCCCATGGACCTGCAGCCTCTATAAATTCTCCAGAGAGAATGCAGGTGGAGTCAGAGATCCCGTCTCCAGTGTAAATCCCCCCCCCAAGCAAGCAAATGACTTACAGAAAATAAACAGAGCCCAAGAAGAGGTTTATCACGAGCCTCAGCCGACTGGGACACCAGCCATGACTTATTGGTTCTCGTTAGTGCTGTAATTACCCTTCTCTGGTGTTTTCGAATACATCACACCCCGCCTCCGCGTGTTAATGATGAATCTGTCTGCTGCAGCCTCAACTCGGACCCACCCCTGAGAATGCATGTGGAGGCATTCTGAGACAGTTGACCTGTAAGGCACTCACCCCATCAGCAGTAGCGACAGACAAAGGTGATAAGCTCAAAGGCTTGAGTAGAGCTTCTGAGTCAGATGAAGCCTGATGCTGAGGACTGGTGTCTCAGTCCTAAGCACCAAGGCACAGCTTTGGGACCCCATAGACTAGCGAGTATCTCCATCCCATTACTCAGTTTCTGTGTTGCTTCCCCTGAGTCTTGTCACAACTGTAAAAAGAAGCACCTCAGCAGCTTACCCAAAATGGCTGTAGTGAGAATTAAGTCATACTGTTCGTGCAAAATCCTAGGAATTTTCCGGAAGTCACGTCTATCTCCATGAGTCCTCAGAGCATCTAGGGATATAATGCATTTATTAATACTCCAACTTCTTCCTGGCATTCAGTCGCAGCCAATAGTTGCAGCAGGAGCAGTGAACGCAGTCATGACTTCTGCTCTTTATACAGAAGCCACAACCTTTACAGCATTTGCTGAGGCAGGTGGATCAGCTGTCACCACAGTCACATGTTCTAGGTGGCTTTCTCCTGCCATGATGAAACACTGACCAAAATCAGTGTACAACCCCAGGCCACAGCCCAGTGCTGAGAGAAGTCAGGGCAGAAACCTGGAGGCTAAAGCTGAAGAAGAGGCCAAGGAAGAACGCTGCCTACTGGCTTGCTCCCATGGCTTGCTTGCTTTGCTTTCTTAGACCACCCAGGACCATCTGCCTGGAGGATGGCACCACCGCAGTGTTGGCTCTCCCACACCAGTCAGTATATAGTTCTGGCTTTTGTGTGGACTGTGACGGGGGGATTCTAGGACAACTGTGATTCTAGAGGTGTGAAATTGTAGATGAAGTCTAGGCGAGTGTGGAAGTCTAGGCGAGTGTCGAAGTCTAAAGAAGGATGTAACTCTAGGCAAGTGTGGAATTCTAGGTATGCTTTTCAAATTCCCCATCTGTGTGTGTGCAGTTGTTGTGTATTGTGAAATTCTGGGTGTTTTTAATTCTAAAAATGTGTATATAATTGTGGTGTGTGTGCACACATGCATATGTGTGCCCGTGTGTGTGTGCACATGTGTGTGTATGTGTGTATTAAATTATGAGTTTTTGAGTATGGTGCAATTCTATAGTGTCTGTGTACAATTCTGGGGTTCTACAATTCTCCAGAGTAGGTGGATCTTGCTGGCATCTGTCAGTGTGTCTGAGTCTAGGAAAATGAGGGCTTCTACATACGGTTTCTGAGCACAACCCAGCCCAGCACAGCCAAGTCTCTGAACATACATGTGACCCAGAATCTGTGTTCTCAGCAGACTCCCCAGGTGTTCCCTCCACTGTGACTCTGTAGTTCATTCTAGGAGGAGACAACTGGTCCTGGCATAGACACCTGTTGCTGCAGGGGTACCTGGCTCCTGAGCCTTTGTTACAAGACTTTTCTTGTTTTGTAGCATCCTGAACGTAGTCAAGCAAACCAAGAGCGATTCTGGCTGGAAGGACTGGCCAACCGCCTATAAGTCCAGGTAGGGAATTCTGAAACCTCCAGCAACTGGAAACAGGGTGGAGAGGCAGGGAAGCTGGTCCTGACCCAGGGCCAGCACACAGATCCTGGGACAGAAGAGCTGAGAGGGGCACCTCTCCTTCTTTTGACCTCACTACAAGTAAGATCCTTTTGATGCTGGGCTGGCAGCAAAAACCCAGACACTTCTCTTCAACGTTTATCTTCCATGCTTTCCACTAAACTCTTCCATCCATGACGAAACGTGGCCCAGGGCCCCCTTCTCGTCTATTTTAAGGTACAATTCCATTTTGCCTGTTTGAGATCCGCAGCCTGACACTGCGGGCCACATATGCACGGGCCTGGAGGACCCCACTCTGAATCAGCTTCCCTCCTTCCCTTTGAGTAGCCTGTCACATGACAGGCAGTCAGTCCCCTCTGTGGCCCAGGAGCTGTGCCCAGGTCCGGAAGCTTCAATAAGCAAATGAAACAAATACATTGCACACCCAAACACCTGACTGGCGCGTCCTTGTGCTTTGGGGCCTTAGATAATCCAAGGAAGCCCATGGGCGCCTTCCAGAAGGATGTTATAAATGCACATTATAAACTGTGAGGATTCTGAAGGCATCTACAGTGGTGAGGTCACTAGATCACTTCCCAGTTTGAGGCATAGTCTTCTAGGAGCTCACTGATGCATTACAGAGTAAGACTTCACAGGAGGGCTGGCAAACACTGTGACTTTGGATTAGCATTGAGTGCAAATGATTCTTGAGACTATCCCACGATTGCCATGTGACATCTAAATGCCCGTCATTTCCATCTCAGTTAGAAATCAGTTAAAACAGAGATGAAGATGTTTTCCTCTGTTTGCCTCCAGGGGTCCCCTGAATTATCCCCACTTTTGAGAATTTATAATACAGTAAGCAAACACTAATGAAACAAACGTCACTCAGTGTGCCAGATGTGGTTGATGCACACCTTTGACCCTAACGCTGAGGAGCTAGAGATGGGCAGGTATCTGTGAGCTCAAGGCCAGCCTGGGTAACATAGGGAGTTCCAAGCCAGCCAGAGCTACATAGCAAGGCCCTGTCTCAAAAGCAAACTGGTGCTCATAAGTCGGGACATGACTTGGTTGATAAAAGGCACTTGTCATGCAAGCATCAAGGCCTGAATCTTAATCCCTGGACCCACATTAAAAGCAGGGTATGACGGCATGTGTTTATAACACGGACATACAAACATGTGCTTGTATGTGCGTGCACACACACACACACAAGCACACACATACTGATATTCAAATGTCCTGGGAGAAAGGCAGAAAGGTAGCATGGAGTGTTGGATCTGACCTGGAGTGGCCATCTCCTTGTGGAAGCTGGTCTGGCTGCAGTCATGGGGTATAACAGTCGTGCAAGGGGTCTAATTGGTCCATACCTAGAAAGGCTCCAAGGATGTGATAAGCTGAGTGATTCCAGAGGAGGCGACTGACAACCAGGCCGGACTCTGAATCTAGACTCTGGATTCTTATCACCTGGGTCCTCAGCTCAATGCGGATGTCAGTCACAGGTCCTAGGAACAGAACTGCTAGCAGAATCTGCTTCTCTAAAGGGGAGTTTTGTAGACTGGCTAAGGATGTGGCCTGGCTCGTCCAACAGCAGCTGCCCCCCTAAGGAAAGGTCAGGAACCTAGTACTTGTACAGTCCACGAGGCCGGACATCTCGGCTGACCTTCAGCCTATGTTGGCGTCCTGAAGAAGGGGGTTCTCACAGCAGTGAAAGAATGACTCAGCATCAGGATAGATGACCAAGAGGGAGGGAAAGCAGACTTCCTCCCTCCATTTCCTTCTCTGTGTGATGGCAGCAGAAGGAGTGGTCCAGATTTAAGGTGAGTCTTCCCACCTCAAACAATCAAGATTTAGTGTGGGTCTTCCTATCTTAAATGATGCAATTAAGAAAATCCCCTCACAGGTGTACCCAGCCACTTGGGATTAGTTAGTTCCAGGTGTAGTAAAATTAGCCGTCACAGGGACCCAGTTTAGCAAAGTGTCTCCTCGAGTGAAGTGTTGGTCTGGAGTGAGGAAGACCAAACATAACACGGGAAGACTCAGCCACCCCTGTCCCAGCATGCACCTGTCGCTATTGAAGATAGCATGTGATCCCCACACTACACGGACGCAAAAGGTCAAAGTGGAAGAGTCTAAGGATATAGGACTCACTATGGACCATGAGACAAAATAGCAGTAAGGATGGTGGGAGAGAGACAAGAAAGACACTCCAGGCAGAAAGATGACAGAAGCGAAGTCCAAGATTGGAGATGAGGGGCACTGAGTCCTGGTCCCCAGGTAATTGTCTTCTCTGTGCCTGAGTTCTGGGGGCCTCAGAGGAACCTCTGATGGAAAACAATTGTAAATTGTCCCTTGGTGTTTCAGTGAGAGATCCAGCACTACCAGTGGAGAAAGCCACATCGTAGTGACGCAGAAGAAGTCAAAGGGGTAAGCCAGGTGGGGAGCAGCACATCATGGGCAGGAGGAAGACCTCACCATGGTAACTGCATCCTTGGTCTCCCAGGCTTATGGGAAAAGCTCAGTACAAACCAGATTCCCCAAATCCATAGACAGGAAAGAGGGACAAGGGTCTCACAGACCAGATCCTGAGCAGCCCTGCGGAATACGACATGAAATCCCTCTGCAGCACCAAGCACCCCGGGCTGCGTCGTACATTTGCAGCATTGTTTATTCCCCAAGCCCAACCCTGCCGGGCCACAACCTCATCCCATTTTACAGAGTAACAGGTTGAGAGTTGGCCACACCCAATGTCTCAAATGAGGTCACACAGCTGAGAAGGGGAGAATCTGGAGTTGGAGGCTCGCCATCCTTGGCATCCGCTAGGATCCAGCTGAAGCTAGCTCACTGTGGCTTGTGTATAAGGCCTGAGTCACCTCCCATTCTTCCAACCTCCAAAGGATGCTGGGGGAGGTACCAATTGGAAACAGAGAGCACAGTTGGACACTAGCAGTTCCCACTTGAGGGTATATTGGGCTCACAGAGGCCGGTGGGACTCATGAGGCTACCAGGAGTGTGCATTGGACCCCATTTCTCAGTGGTTTCTCTTGTCCACAGCCGTGCTAACCGGGACATCATCCAATGTAAGAGTGGCGTGTGTAGCAGTATGCGGGCCAAGTTTTACAGCATAGCCCAGGAGGCCGGCTTCTGCCTACAAGACAAGATGGAAATTCTCATGAAGTAAGGGCAGACACATGTCCAGCCCATTGCAAGGGCTTGTACCTGGTACTGCATGTTCAGCACGTATCCAGTGCTGGAGCTGGAGTGACAGGGAGACACCTTCGCCACCCTTGGGGAGTGAACTCTGCCTCTTGAGAAACAGAAACAAAATCATTGCATCCACAGAGAGACACAACTTAGATTCACCCCATGTGGGAAGAAAACAGGTGTTATGTCTGAGGAAGATGGATGGACGGGGGGGGGGGGCAACAAAGGAGAAAGAGGGAGAGGGAAGCAGGAGGGGATGAGGAGGAAGATGAGGAAGAGAGAGGAGAGGGGGAGAAGGCCAGAAACTAGGGACCCCGGTTCAGGTTGGGTAATCAGGGAAGTCATTTCTGACAAGGTGGCTTTATGATGACCATGAAGGAAGCAGAGGGACCCAGAGGAGAAGAAACTAGGAAAAGAAGTGTTCCAGGTGGCAGGCCCCTGGAAGCTCTGATAGGAGACACAATATCACACACAGTCAGAATGCTGTCAGTGGAGTTCAACATTAACAGGCCACAGGAACCCTCCTTGTCCCCACTAAAGCCCTCCCCTAACTAAGGTGACCATGGGCCCAGGGACTCACCACTCCCAGGTGACGCTTCACACCCCCTTCCTGCTCAGAACTCACCATTTACAGAGACAGGTGAGTACACGAAAATCTACCACATAGGGCAGTGAGGGCCAGCAATGATGGGGACGAGGAGAAGACTCAGAAACATGGAGAGCAGGTGTCCTTCCTTGTAATCAAAGAGTGTACATTCATTTCCTGGCCACCCAGACCCGAATAATCACACAAAAGTATATTAATTACAACACTGCTTGACTGATGGCTCAGACATATTTCTAGCTAGCTCTTGTATCTTAAATGAACCCATTTCTATTAATCTGTGTATTACCACCAGGCAGTGACTTACCAGTTAGGTTCTGGCGTCTCTCCTTCGGCAGCTACGTGGCATCTCCCTGACTCTGCCTTCTTTCTCCCTGCATTCAATTTAGCACCCCCCCCCCGCACTTCAGCACATTGGAGAGAGCTATGGCTTCTGAAAGTGCTCATCGCCAGTAGCTAAAGTTGGGGGGGGGTCCTGTGTCTCTAATTCCTCTCCCACTTCTCCACACCACTCCATAGGCGCCAAGAAGAGCGGGGTCTCCAGAAGTTCCGCTCTTTTGTTCTCGCCTCGAATTTCCAAAAGGATATATCAAAGATGAGGCACCAGGTCCCGGTGATGAAGGGGGACGCAGAAGAGATTGCAGACCACTGGTAAGACTCTGAGGACCAGACAAGATGGCCCCTTAGCATTACATCATGGTCTATTCCAGGGTTCTTCAGTGGCCTAGAGGTATCCCCTCCCAACTACTGTCTGCCCCAATTGGGTCCCCCAAATCAAAACACAATCAGGAAAGAACCTGTCAGCTTCACAACCATGTGTCACAAAACCTGTCCTGGTCTTCATAGTTACTGCGATTTTGACCCAGACTTAGACATAAGGAGAGCTCATTTGCCACCCCTCCCGTGCACATGCGCGTGCACACAGACACACACACACGCACACGCACACACGCACCTGTCAACCAAATGTCTACACAGCCTTAGTTCTCTGAGGTTATCACTGCATACCCCTGGGAACACTGTGCCCCAGCACATGCGAGAGGACAGACAGATAGCAGCAGGGGAGGGCTGGGGTCTGCTGCGTGGCAGAGGATGGCACTGAGTATTTCAGAATAACTGGAGGGAGGATGTTGGGTCGCTCCCTATGGAGAAGCGATGAATACTTGGTGGATGTACTAAGCATCTACATTGGGACGTTAGGCGCTGTACACAAATGTATCCAGTCGGGATATATACACTGCATAGGAGTTCTGACACTTGCTGGGCGTGGTGCCACACTGCTTTCAAATCAGCACTCAGACGGCGTCAAGACAGGTCTGGTCTCCACGATAAGTTCCAGGTAACCCAGCTACATAGTGAGGCTCTGTTTCAAAAAGACAAAAGAGCAAGTAAAAATAAGTCCTGATATGTTACACAAGTACCCTAGAAAAAGGTTCAGTGATAACTTCAATTAAAATAAGATATTTCAAAATGTAAAGGAAATACTGACCAACCGTAAGAAATCACTATGAGCTGCATGGCTGGTGGATGGCAGAGGTTGCCCTAAGAAAATTTAATGGTTCATATTTTATCCCCCAAATCCTTAAAGAGACATACGAAACTGAGTCTCAGCGTAGTCGGCTCACTTGTCCCAGGCCATACTGTCTGTAAGTGGCGAGCACAGGACATGAACCTCAGTCTGGTCTCAGAACTTCACATTCACATGTAATATTGAACTAGAGTCTGACGCGTTGTATGTCATGAACTCCATTCTGCCAGGATGAGGAAAACAAAATCTTTTTTTTAAAAGATGAGAAAATGGAAAGATGGACCTAGAATCCCTCCCACACTGTTATTTACATGAAGTAGAAACTTGCCAGAGGGACCCTGAGCTGTAGGGGAGATGTGGGAACCACCCACACTGCCTCACACTCCCAGGTCTTTGCCATCTCATGAGTAGCAACTGTCCCCGGAGTTACATGGGCTCCCAAAGGTGCCTTATGTAAGGGGGAGGGAGAGTGAGTTTATAGCCTCCCCTTTGGGAAGGAAAGTGGAAGGGTAATAAACTAACCCCCACGAAGATATTGGAGTGGGAAGTTAGTGTTGAGCCTCCCACAGCAGGGCTCAGCCAGCGTCTCTAATGATGGGGCTTTTGGTATCATTACGGGGAAACAAGCGCCCTCCATAGCATCATTAAAATCAAGTCAAATGAACCACAGCCTGCCAACAAGTGTGCTCAGCTGGGCTTCTCACTCATCCACTCTTTCTGATCATAACTATTGGACGCCTACTATCTGCCAGGCACAGCTAGTTCAGCGCTATGTGCTGAGTAGCTCAGACAAAGGTCATGCCTTCATGGGGACTCATGCTACACAAAGACACTTGAATAAATATACAAACGCATACCACAAGTACAAAGATGAGTATCCAAGAATATTTGCTGGGTCAGGCTAGTCTTCAAATACATAAGTACACAAGCACAGTGGTACATATGAGGTGGAAGAAGGCACTTTTCATCACCATTATTATAAATTATATCATAATTCTATAATTGAATTATTATTATTATTATTATTAGTGCATGTGGAAGACTGAGAGAGACAAAAAGATGGGGGCATGTGCAGAGTTAAGGGAACAACTTTTCTCTCCTTCAACCCTTTTGTGGGCTCTGGGATCAAACTCAGGTTGTCAGACATGTGTGACAAGCACTTTCCAAACACATGCCACCATTTGTCTTAAGTAAGCCCTGACCACAGTTAAAGCATGCTCATAGATCTAAGGTGGGTAAGTAGGTTAGACAGAAATAGGCCAGGACCCAACTGTCTCTGCCATCTTAACAATGCATTTTCAGTGGTAGCGTGAAACACACAGCCTGTCAGCTGAGCTTGTTATCGAGGAGATGGGAAATGCACAGGCCATCATCTCCATCACCACCACCATCATCTCTATTACCACCCTCATCTTCATCATCATCATCACCACCATGACCATAATTATCTTTATCACCACCATTATCTCCATCACCACAATCATCATCATCACTGTCATCTCCTTCAACTCCATCAACATCACCATCAACACCATCATCACCATCAACACCATCATCACCATCAACACTATCACCACTATCAACACCATCACTACCATCATCTTCAGCACCACCATCATCTCCACCACCATCATCTCCATCACCATTATTTTCAACATCACCACAATCATGTCCATCACCACCATCATCTCCAGCACCACCATCAGCTCCATCACCACCATCAGCTCCATCACCACAACCATCATCATCACCATCATTTTCTTCATCTCCATCACCATCATTTCCATTCAGAAAGGGGCAGGACTCCCACAGGTTTGCATTAAGCATGACACATCAAGTTGAGACAGGATTAAGCTCCTCCCCTTCTATCTAAGTGGGATGCGGTATTCTGGCATGGGAAATTGTAGAAGGAACAGTGGGCTGCATTCCTGCCGCTGGGCTAGCTTATGCCCCAGAATAATTACACGGAAACTGTATTCATTTAAACACTGTCTGGCCCATTAGTTTCAGCCTTTTATTGGCTAATTCTCACATCTTGATTAACCCATTTCTAATAATCCTCGTAGCACCACGAGGTAGTGGCTTACTGGGAAAGATTCAGCATGTCTGACCTGGTGGCTGGCTCCATGGCATCTGACCAACTATGCTTTCTTTCTCCCAGCATTCTGTTCTGTCTACTCCACCTATCTAAATCCTGCCCTATCAAAAAGCCAAGGCAGTTTCTTTATTAACAAATGAGAGTAACACATAGACAGATAACCCTCCTCCATCAGGAAATAGGTTACCAAAAGTCAGCTAAGTGCCAGGGAGAAATCCTGCTCTCGCTGTTAGAAGCCTTACTAAGAGGCCAAGCTACACAATTGTCACACACATTCAGGGGGCTAGGTCAGTTCCATGCAGTCTCCCTAACTGTTGGTCCAGTGTCTATGATCTCCCACGAGCTCAGGTCAGCTGTCTCTGTGGGTGGGTTCCCCCATCATGACCCCCCCCCGATTGGTACAATCCCTCCTCCCTTTCTTCAGCAAGACTCTGGGAGCTCAACGCAGTGCTTGTCTGTGGATCTCTGGAATGCAGCCCTTTAAAGCATGCAAGTGAAACAGAAGCTGGCTACCCTTAAACATAAATCCTTGCCTTGTGGATGACCCTACAAAAGCTGGGTGGAGAGGACAGGGCCCATGTAGAGTGTCACGATGCCTCAAAAAATCCCAAGAATAGAAAAGAAAATAAAAGAGGATCCAAGGGGTCCAGACCCCAACCCGGGGCCTCTCTAAGGTGATGGGGGCCCAGATCCACATCCTAGGGTCTTTCTAACTAGAGGGGACAGGTGATGGGGGCCCAGATCCACATACCAGGGCCTCTCTAACCAGCTCTCTCCTCTTGGATTTGAAGGTACTTTGATCTGTTATCCAAACTCCCTGAGGATCTGAAGAACTTCCGGCCTGCAAAGAAGGTCCTGACAAAACTGCAGAAGTTTGGAGAGAACCTAGACCTGAGGATCCGGCCGCACGTCCTCCTGAAGGTGCTCCAAGACCTGCGCATCTGGGAGCTGTGCTCTCCAGACCTTGCGGTGGCCATCGAGGTAATAACCATTGCCCCTTCCCTCCCAATGCCTCAGGTGCCTTCCTTCAGTCATCTTCCAACATCCAAGCACTGCTTAAGTGCAGCGAACCCAACCATCCCAAAATAGCGAGACCCTGCCCTCTGCGAGCTCTGCTCTATTTGGTTGTTCAGCAGCAGCTCCAAGGCTCAACAGGGTCGATGTAAGCAGTACTCCCTGGAGACTAGGAGGTTAGGAAGGGATGCAAGTGGGTTAGTCATCCAAATGAACTTCTCAGAGTGTGCTTCTGAAACTGCAGATGGTTCCCAGGCAAGCAACGTGGCCCTCACTGGTGTTTGTGGGGAATGAGAAACCTCAGGCACCGACCAAATTTGCCAACACAGAATTGACATGTTAATGAGATGATAGTGAGGAAATCTGCTTTAATTTATAGAAGACCTCACTAACCAGGGCAAGTGGGAAAGCTAAGGTTTAATCTTGGACTTGAACACTGGGAAGTCAGAATCGTGAAGAGAAGGCAAAAGAGCAGAGTAAGGAGAAGACGGCACATGTAACACACACACACACACACACACACACACACACACACCAGCAAGACACAGCCTGACTTGTTGGAGAAATGCATTGCAAGCCATTGGGTGTGGCAGAAAGTGATCAAGGAGGTGACTGTCAGCCCGAGAAGACCTGTGCAGGTCAAGGGAGAGCTTCAGGGCTCTTTTCAAGGGCGCTGAGAAGCTTTCCCATCACCGCCATCCCTGAAGGCACAGGACGTCTAAGATAACAGCAGTAGGATGCCAAAAAAAAAAGTTAAAGATGCTTATGGAGCCAGAGGTGGTCCAGGTCCATAATCCCAGCTGCTCTGGAGGCTGGCAGAAGGATGACAAGTCCAGTGCCTGCTGGGCTACAGGTGAGCCCAAGGTCATCCCTGACAGCTTAGCCATATCTGTAGTGCCATTTCATTTGTACTTTAATAAATAAAGCTTGTCTGAAGATCAGAAAAGTAAACAGCTACACTGGCCAGCCTTGCAGACCAAGCAGCAATGACACACACCTTTAACTTCAGTAACCATGCTAGCTTGCCATAGAAACCAGGCAGTAGTGGTGCCTTAATCCCAGAACTAGAGAGGATTATAAAACAGGAGGAGGCAGCTCTCAGTCTCAGTCTCATTCTAAGATTCTCCAGACAACTGAAGAAGCAGTCATCAGTTGGCAGGTTAGGGAAATGTGGTGGGGGAACATGCCCCATAGTGCCATAGTCCCAAACTCCATAGCCCAAACTCCATAGTCCCAAACTCCATAGCCCAAACTCCATAGTCCCAAACTCCATAGCCCAAACTCCATAGTCCCAAACTCCATAGCCCAAACTCCAGAGCCCCAAACTCCATAGCCCAAACCCCAAGCCCCAAACTCCATAGCCCCAAACTCCATAGCCCAAACCCCAAGCCCCAAACTCCATAACCCCAAACCCCATAGACCCAAACTCCAATTCCCCCCAAACTCGATAGCCCCAAACTCCAGAGCCCCAAACTCCATAGCCAGCTTCATTCGACTTTTTTTTTTTTTTTTTTTTTTTTTTTTTTTTCTTGTTTTTTTTTGTTTTTTTTTTTTTTTTTTTTTGAGACAGGGTTTCTCTGTAGCTTTGGAACCTGTCCTGGAACTAGCTCTTGTAGACCAGGCTGGCCTTGAACTCACAAAGATCCACCTGCCTCTGCCTCCTGAGTGCTGGGATTAAAGGCGTGTGCCACCACCACCCAGCCTCGTACAACTTTTGGCAAAAAGCAAATGCATTAGCCAGTGTTCTCCAGAACAACCGAATTTATGGAGTGTGTGTGTGTGTGTGTGTGTGTGTGTGTGTGTGTGTGTGTGAGAGAGAGAGAGAGAGAGAGAGAGAGAGAGAGAGATTAGGATGATTTACATGCTGTAGTTCAGCCAATGCAACAGGAACTGTCTACCATGGAAGGCAAAACATTCCAGTCATTGCTCAGTCCATGAGGCTGGGTGTTTTGGCTGGTTTTCAGTATATGCACAAATCCCCAAGAAGTAGACTCTAATGCCGGTGAGAGCAAGAGCAAGTGGGCAGAGTACTTCCTTCCTCCATGTCCTTTACACAGGCGGCCAGCAGAAGGTGTGGTCCGGATTAAAGTATATTTTACCACCTCAAAAGATCCAGATTAAAAGGGGGTCTTCTCTCTTTAACTGCTTTAATTAAGAAAAAGCCCTCACATGTATACCCAGCTGCTCGGCTTTTAGTTAATTCCAGGTGTGGTTAAGCTGACAGCCAAGAACAGGCATCACAGCAAAGTTCAGTGGTTCTCTTTGTTCAAGATGTGTGTTTACGTATGTGCATGTGTGTTTTGTGTATGTGTATCTATGAGCGCCACGAGAATGTTCCATCCTGCGAGAGTCAGAAGAAGGCACCAGATCCCCTGGAAGGTTCTCAAGTGTAATGGGTTCAGAACTCTGTTGTGGGCCAGACTGGCAGCAGCCCAACAAACAGTGGCCATGACAAGTCTGGCTTTGGGACGTTCTTCAGACTATCTTTCTAGTCACTTCATGGAAATGGTCATCATTTCCTAGAGGTCATAGTTGTCCTATCCTGTCCTGTTTTTGGCTCTTATCGCAATCCAACTGAGAAATGGGTGTTGTTGCTGGGCATAATAAGAGAAATCAACAGGTCAAACAAGAACTTTCTCAATTTGTTTGCAGAGAGTCAGCTGCAATGAATGCCCTCAACCAGCCATTGCCTTGTCTCCTTGAACCACCCCCACGTTGGACATTCATTAGAAGGTCCTGGGCCAAATGCCTCCTCTCTGCTGCTTCAAGACCTATTTTAAATTCAAATCAGAACATCACTCAAACGATTGCAGAGATGGCTCAGCAGTTAAGATCCCTGGCTGCTCTCTCCAAGGGCCTGGATTCAATTGCCAGCCCCCACATGGCCATCCACATGTAACTCCAGTTCATAGGAATCTGATGCCCTCTTCTGGCCTTCATGGGCACATACATGCAACGCATACATATAAAATAATAATGTTTTTCAGGAAAGAAAATAGCTCAAGTTTGTCTCCTGACTAACATCATTTCTGTAGTATAAAATAGACAATAAACCATCGTCAATTAAATGAAGAACTAGGTAGCAAATGGTATATAACATAACCACATTTATTTAAGAATGTATTCATGTCAAATGATAAATTTCAACAGCACAGAAGTCTCAACTACTTTTGCAGCAACCTAAATATGAATGTCTGAATCATTGGGGTCATCTGGAATGTCAAACAGAGACTGGCAGAGGGGCAGTCTAGTCTAGCTTTCAAACCAGACCCTGAGTACCTCTCTGTTTACTCCGCAGTTTGTGCGCGAACACATCATCCATATGCCGCTAGAGGACTACATCAGCTGGCTCCAGACCCGGGTTAACACGCCTCTCCGGCATTACACTCTCCCCACATAGCCGGGGCCGGGCCCCGTGGAGGAGGGCAAGCCAGCGCCTTGTTCCTGAGTCCAGCCTGGGCCACCACGGAGCAGTGAGATGCGCGGAAGACTCGTCTGAAAAGAGATGATGGCCCCACGTGACCCAACTGGACCCTCCCCGACCAGCTTCCCTGCTTCTGCTCACTGTCCCACTCTGACTCTGCCTACTCTTTCAGACTCCCTCACCACACCTGAAAATCTTATTTAATAAAATCGAGTTGGCTATTTCATATCTGCCTATGGAAGAGTTCAGACTATGGCAGTCAGATCTTAGGAGAACAAGTTATCACTTGCTGAGGTTTTGTATTGGCAGCCCAGTGCTGTATCTTATAATTATGTATACTAGCATATAAGACAGCTTTCCTGAGTAGACACAAATGATGTACCCATTCCATGCCACTGGAGCTGGAATGTTGTTTTCAGTATTTCAGTCGCCTGTATTGTTTTGGATAGATGGACAAACGGATGAATAAATGAATGGGTAGACAGCTGGATACATAGGTAGATGTATTGGTGGATGGACAAATAAATATAAATATAGGTAGATGAATAAATAAATGGATAGGTAAAGAGATGAATAAATGCATGGAAAATGGATGAATAAATGAATGAGTGGCTGGCTGGATGAATGGATGGGTGGATGGATGGAAGGAAGGATGGATGGATGGATGGATGGATGGATGGATGGACGGACAGACCGATAGATGGACGGGTAGACAGATGGAAGGATGGATGGATAACTGCAATATCCATAAAGAAGTGGCATGTATGCATGCCCATGCATATGCAACTGTGCATGACACATGTAGAAGTCAGAGCTTGATGTCAGGATGTCGTCCTGTCCCATGGGTAGAGACAGATAAGTAAGGTGTGAGAGGAGAGATGAGATGAGGGGGAGAGGGGAGCCTGAGGACAGAATCACAAAAGCACAGAGCCACTGCTCACAGTGAGCCATTTACCAATGGGCTGCTTCCTTCTGCACGGCGTGCAAACACCTGACGTGGACCATGGGAGTCTGCACAGCCACTCCAGACTGGCTCTTTCGTCCTTCCTGTTCTGCAGACAGTGAGGCAGAGGCTCGCAAGAATTCTTGCACTCTTTTTTATTTAAATTTATTTTTGCTTGTATAGGTTTGTGTGTGTGTGTGTGCATATATTCACGCATGTATGTGCATACACATAGGCCAGAAGCCAATGCCGAGCGTGTTTTTCCAGCACTCTCTGTCTTCGTTTGTTTTGTATTGCTAAGATAAAATACTCTGTCAGTCCAGGCAGCACACACCTTTAGTTCCAGGCCGTCCAGAAGAGATTAGAAACTAATAATAAATAAAGCACTGACCAAAAGCCACTTGGGAAGGAAAGGATTTATTTGGTTTACAAGGAACCGTCCATCATTAAGAAAATCCAAGACATTGACTCAAGGCAGGAACTGAAGCAAAGGCCACAAAGAGAACTGCTTGCGGCTGCCTGGAGTGGCTCCACTCACAGTGGATCCAGCCTCCCGCATCAAGTAGCAATCGAGAAAATCCCCCGCAGACTCGCCACCGCCCACCGGTTAGAGTGGTGAGGGCAGTTCCTCAGCTCGGTCTCTCTTCCCAGCTATGCCCAGATTTGTGTCAGATTGACAAACACTGACATCCTTCAGGTTTATATTTTTGAGGCAGGGTCTCTCACTGAAGCTGGGGTTTGCTGAGTCACCTAGGCTGACTGGCTGGCAAGCTGCTCCCAACACAGGGATTCTAAGCACCTGCTTCCCTGCCTGGCTTCTGGATATGGGCACTGTGGCTCTGGAGTGAGGCCTCAGGCTCACACAGCAAGCGCCTCACTGACGGAGCATCTCCCTAGCCTCTGAACTTGTATGCAGCTGACACGTAATTCCATAAAAACCATTAGAACTGTACATATTATACCAGGAGATTTTCTTATAACTTGCATACATCGTATCATGTTCAATCAGCTTGCTCCTCAAATGATTATCATTTATAATAATAAAAAAATCAAATCCTTCCCCGTGGTCTTTTGAAATAAAAGTGCAGCATTTGCAGCTGCAGCTGTCCTGAGTGCACTATGGCACCCTAGAATTTTTTGCCTCTACGTAGCTGTGCCTCCGAACCCCTTTGGTCAAGCTGGTCCTTGGCTAATTCTCCCAGTTTCCCCACTGCCGCCCCGTCCCAGGTTCTCATTGTTGTCATACAAGGAGGTCACAAAGGTTGCTGTGTCTGAAGAAGTGTGCCCAAGGAATGGCTTTAGCGAGCACACGGGTGCACTGTCTCGTGCAGTACTCAAAGTCTCGTCTCCCAGGCGTTCACGGCAACTCTGCAGCGGTAACGAGGGAGTCACTAAAATACCCATTTTTATAATTAAGCACATGAAGACAGACATATAGCAAGTTTGTGCCAGAGTCTAGTCCAGAATGAGGTCTGTCTGTGACAGGAAATAGCCTAAAACCACAGGACTTCCAACTTCCTCCACGCTAGGTGCCTTCTCAGCTTAGTTCTCAGAGCTATAGCGCCATCTAGTGGCAGCTGCTCAGCCCGTTGGGATTGCTTTCACTATGCCCTCGAGCAAAGTTTAACTGTCTTGCCAAAAAGGAAGGCAGCCACTGTTTGCAATTACGAGACCTACAAGCTCAGACGAGGAGTAACACGCTCACATAGAGGAATGGGGGGGGGGGTACTAAAACATAGCCAGGAACAAGGGACAGCAGACAATGCTTCATATCCCCAGCTCTCGGGCTCAAAGAGCCCAAGGGAGAAATAATTTTGGAGTGAAAAGCTTTAACAGAATCTGAGAGAGCAGTGACAGTCTGGTCCCCAAAGTCACTGTCCCCCTCGATTGCCCAAGCCATCTGTGTTTCTGCTATTACAGCTTCTAAAACTGCCTCTTTTGTCTGGATTTTCTGTTTATACACACAGTTCTTCATTTGGTTGTGAGACGGGGTCTCATGAAGCCCACGGGGATCTTGAGTTTGCTTGCATATCTGAAGCTGACCTTGAACTCCTGACCCTCCTGCCTCTGCACCCCAAGCATTGGGATCCCAAGTGTGTACCAGTATGCCCAGTTCTATATATGTCTTTAAAAGACATTAAAACAAAATCACATCAAAGCAAACCACAAACCAGATGTAGGTCAAGAAGTCATAGTCTGTGGACTCCTGCTTCAGGGTGAGTTTAAAGAAGACACGCTTTCTATTGTTTCCAAAAGAACACACTGGGAGGACTGGCAAACTGGAATGATTTCAGTATCTGCTTAGATGTTTAGATGGCATTGACTGTCTTTTCATGGGAAAAGAACATGTGCACAGGGTAAAACCTCACAGTGCCAACCAGGTAGTAACCATCCCCTCCACATTGTGGGCCACCCTCAATGACAGTAGCAGCCACACTGTACCCAGTAGCTTCGGGTCAACCCGGAGATATTCTGTGTGAGCACCAGCAAGAGACGGTGATGATCAAAGGAGTGAGCAGGATGTCTCTATGTGCCGCATGCCAGGCATGGCCCTAAGCCAGCGGTTCTCAACCCCGTAACACTGCGGCCCTTTTATACAGTTCCTCACGTTGTGGTGACCCCAACCAGAAAACTGTTTTCATTACTACTTAAACTTCCAGCTCCCACTCCTTGTATGGCCTTGAAGGGCATCGCATCTGACAAGTGCAGAGAACACTCCAGAGCCCACGAGGATGCCTGTGTGCAGCATCCAGCTCATAGTAAGAACTCAGTGCACACTAGAGATGGCAACAGTGGCAGTGGAGACAGGGAATGGGGTGTGGGTAGAGCACACAGTCCCACATCCCCAGTCTCGCATGTCAAGGACAATTCATTGGTCGCTGTCCTCACATGCCTGCACTCGTGTCTGATTCTGAATCCTCCATCACTACCTCTGAGAACATAAGGACTGATTATAAAGCTCAAGTCACGTGATCCCAACCCAGAGACCAAAAAGACATCTATCTGGCCTTTGTAACTTAAAATTTTTTTTGAGAGTTTCACACATCAGTACTGCATTTACATTATTTCCACCCATCCCTCTGCTCCCTCCAATACCTTCTGCGGCACCCACTCCCTCTCAAATCCATGACCTCCAATAGATAGAAAGATAGATAGATAGATAGATAGATAGATAGATAGATAGATAGATAGATGATAAATAGAGGATAGATAGATGATGATGATGATGATGATAGATAGATAGATAGATAGATAGATAGATAGATAGATAGATAATAGATAGATAGATAGATAGATAGATAGATAGATAGATAGATGATAGATAGATAGATANATAGATAGATAGATAATAGATAGATAGATAGATAGATAGATAGATAGATAGATAGATGATAGATAGATAGATAGATAGATAGATAGATGATAGATAGATAGACAGATAGATAGACAGACAGACAATCTGTCAAGTCCAGCAGGTGTTGCTTATAGAGTGTTTAAGACTGACCACTGGCTGGACTGGATAACCCAGCAGGGGTTTGTCATCCCTGGAGAAGACTGATTCTCCTCTCTCAGCAACCACCAATCGCCTATAGCTCTTCACCTAGGGACGGGGCCTTGTGAAATGTCCCCCATCCATGTTAGCATACTGGTTATGCTGGTGTTATTTAGGCAACCACATGTTGAGATTTCATATGCACCACTTTTATGATGGGAACAAAATTAAGCCCACAGAGTAAAATATTTCCAAGGAAAAGAAGGGATGGGAATCCCAGTTACAAATACCCAAAAGCACCCTCCAGAGAAGGCGTCCTGGACAAAGAACCATCTTAGGTGAGCGGAAAGCACCCATATTTCACTGATGAAGAAACTGAGGCATGCAAAGCTAACATTTCCAAGGTCACAGACATGGGAAGAACCACGGCGAGAATGAGGGCAGTGTTCAGGAAAGCACCCCAGAGGAGGCCCTGATGGTGTGTGAAGAGGCTGAAAGCCTACGCCGGAGTTGGGTCTACACCCAGAGGCGTCAGCAGGG